GTGGGGAATGCTGCATAGAAGTGAATTTTCTCAGGTTTTAAGAATAATGCACAGAAAAAGGTTTAGTTTGTGTTTAAAAACTGGCAAAAAGGACTACAGGGAAAGCAGACATGATATGGCAGGTTGTAGTTTTGATCAACCAATGGGAAAGGTCATGCTTACTGGTTTGGGAAAATACTTAGAAAGGGAGAGGGTTTAACAAGATTGCTGTAATTCAGTTGGAGGAAGGTCAAACCAAGAGCTTAGTATGTGGATGTGTGCAGCCACAAGCAACAGAGAAGACCTGGCCAGTTCAGTACTTCTTCAGATGCTGGTGGGTGTGGGGATTCCCTGAAAGGGAGATTTTTGTCTTGCATCTGAGTTGCTGCCCAGATTCTGTTGGATGAAGAGTGTTAGATGTTTCTACATTATTAAGGTGGGCTCAAGTGAAATGGACTTGGAACTCATTTCAAAACAGGGAACTCCTTTGAGTTTGTACGCTTTAATTCTTTTCTTACCCTACACAGTGTGACAGTGAATGAGGGTGTGCGTGTGTAAAGGAACTTGTATTAGCAATGGTCTCTTTCAGAGACCATGTATGGGTAAAGCAGTTAGGCTGGTTCAGTTCCCTGCTCCTCCCTCTCAGGCTGCTGAGCAGAATCTCTTCTGCTGAAACGGTTGTTCCACTTTCTGCTTTCTATATTTGTACAGGAGCAGCACGCTAGCTAAGCAGGCAGTGTGGCCGGCCTTGTGTGCTTTCAGCATTTGCTGAGCAGAATTGAGAGCCAGGGCTTGCAGTCTGTTGTTACATCTGTCTGTCTGTCTCTGCGTCTCTGGGGAGGACTGGAGTTCCAAGTGAAAGGTGATCTGTTTGTGGATGTTTTCTTTTTTGTATAATGCAGTTCATCCAGGTTGGGAGTCTAGGGATCGGGAGTGGAGGAGGGAAGGCAGTTGTCTTGCTGGGCGAGTATGTAGTGGGTGGCAGTGGCATCAGAAAGATACAGTTTTAACCTCCAGAGGAGCTGCTGTCTTCTGGGATGAGGATTTTAATGTCCCTGCCTGCTTTGGGGAGTGATTAGCCAAGGCCCGTATCTTTCCATAAAAGGTCTGTTGTCACTGTCTGCCGTGAAGATTAATGAAAACTAGATTCTGTCCTGGGATGACTGAGTGCTGGCTTTACTTGTTATGGACAAGGGAGGTTAATGAGGAGCTAGACCCTGGCCAGCCTAGTTTGGAATCAGGACTTGGTGCTGAGGGATGGGGTCGTAGGAAATATCTCCTTAGGAAGAGCTGGAAGCTTGTAACTGCGACTTCCCTGGCTATGCATTTACATAAACTTTGTATTATGTCCCTGTGCATGTTGGGAGAACTATTCACAATTGTTTTTCTTTAGTAGATCAGGTGAACAAAGAGTTCAGGAAGTCTGTTAGCTGCTGACTGTAGTGAACTGTAGTAAACTGTTGAGTAGCACAAGGGCACAAAATAGTGGCAGCAATTGGATCCACCATTAGCATTGACAATACATCTTTTGAGAGGGAGAAAGAGGGAAATAGGTTATAGGGTACTTTTTCTGTCTTTCGGGGGATGCTGTCCACTTTTAAATTCTTCTGCTTTTTGAATATCTATGCAAATAGGCATCAGGACTTTCGTTTCTGAAATTTAAACAAGGAAAACATCGTTTCACTTGTGAAACAGAAGGCAGAATCTTGCTAAAATTATTCTTGAGGACCATGTTCCATAAACTCATTCTGAATAATTTTTCTTTCCTACCACTGCAGTGTCTTCAGTGTGTTTAATTCCGAGAAATCTATGTGTATCTCGAATTTGGAAGAAGCAGCTTTTGGAGGCAAATTAGGAATCTCTACTGCCCAGCAATGCCTGAATCTCGCTGTGTCTGCAGGCAGGGAACTGTGATTGATGTTTGACAGAGGGTCATCCCATTCTTAAACTGCTTGAACTAAAGCAGCTTTGTTGTATGGCTGTTTTCGGATCATTCTTTGTTTAACAGGGACACGCTGCAGTAGTTGTTCCATCTTCATCTGAAAAACCTATGGAATTCATTGTGAATATGCAGCTTCTGGGATGTTAAGCTTGTTGTTTTAAGTGCCCTGATATGTTTCTTTATTCTGATATCCTCTTAAAGCCTTTTTTTCTTGCCACTTCTCCACTTCCTGACTTGCCAGTTGACATCCTTTCATTTATACTACCCAGAGTGAAGCAGCAAAAGCATAATTAAACTTTTTCTGAGTTTACAGTACCAGCAAATCTTCGTACTGTTCAATGCCAGTGATTGAGGTTATACAATTCCTCTATTTTAAGTGTTTTCTGGTTGCATACTTAAATTTTGCTTGTAGTCTTGTGGCAGGAATATAATTAAGCAGTTTCAGAGGCCTCTTGGAAGTACGCTGTTGCATGTTTTAAAAAATATTGTTTGTCCATTATGTGAAAGATGTCATGATAAATGGGTAGAACACGGAAGAAATATATGTTCGCCATGTGCATTGAGTGGATGAAAGGTAAATCTGGGCTGTAGAATGGCATTAGGGAAATTAGGTCTTCGATTTTGTAAGAATTTTCCTGAAGGCAATGTGTAAGACAGTGACATTGTTCAGAGCTAAGCTAACCTGTCAGTTGTGTTTCTTGGAAGGCAGATGCTTTGAGCTATGTATGTAGTAAATTTGTTTTGCACCTATTACCCACTACTGCTCTGCCTGTTTCCAGGAGTTCAAGTGATACATGTAGCAAACTGTAATGTGTTAGAAGGGCAGGAAATCATATTTGCCATATAGACTTTGAGTTTAAGGGAGAATACCCAGTAATCCATTCTGGATTGACTGCATTATTATCCTGTTTGCAGAAGAGGTTGCATTGAAGTTGGAGACAAGTGAGAAATTCACTTCTGTCTGACATCCTTTTAAGGTCCTGAAATTCCACAGGAATAACTTTTTATTTTCTTACCTTAGTGCTTTTATTCTTTATGAAAAGAATTCCCTTTCTTTTTTAATGTCATAACTGTGCAGTTGAATTATTAGGCTTAAGGGTGGACATGTGGGAAAATTACAGGAATTTGTTATTAAGTCCAGTGTTCATTTGTATTTAGTTAAGCTTATAACTGCTGTTGAAAAACTATTACAGTTATTAAACTCCAGAAAGAATAAGTGAAAACTAAAACTTGAAAAATACTTGTGATTTTAAAAAGCTGAGTCATATAGCTTAATCAAGATAGGGAGTGACATGTTTTTAAATATTGGAGGCAGTCCACTGACAAAGAATTGGAACAGTAAAGGTGATTATATGGAAGAACATGCACACGCTTCTTATAAGTGTAGTGTTTTCTTAATGAAAGTAGTAGAAGCCTTATTTATCACTTAGGGCTCTTTAAAAGGAGTAAGTAGAGAATGAATTATGTGAAATTCACACCTAAATCTGATGATGTAGTTCCATGAATAATTTGAATGACCATATGTCAGTACTGCTGTGAAAGAGGCTTGTTCCATCTTTCATGCATTTCCCCTTTCCTTTGTGCTGCTGAGAGCACCTGTGTGGTTGTGCAGTGAATTGAATCGGGGAACATGTCTGGGTTAAAACTGTTACTGTTGGTAGGCTAGATCACACCTTGATCATTCCCTTTCTCAGGCTTGTTATACAGAGGTGGGGATGGATAGCTGATGAGGAAAGAGTTGTACTCTATTCTTTTGACAAGAGCATCAGCTTAAACTGGATCTACAGTAGGAATATCTTGATCTATTACTTTGTATTCCCACCCCATTTCTATCTAATCTTTATGGAGAGCTTATATCCAGTCTTCTCTAGTAATATAACCCAAAAAAATGAAGTAAGAATTGCTTGTATGTGTTACCTGCTGTGGCACATACCGTTTGATTCTAGACAGGGAGGTACTGAACGTTGTCATAACACTTCTTTACAAATGCAGTATTTGATACATGCTGTGTTGGATGCCGCTGTACAGAGAAGCCTGCTGTTTGTTTGGGAGGAAATTGGTGAACTTTCCTGATGAGAGGACAGAGAGAAGATAATGTAACATGTAGACTGTTAACATGTGAGGTTTTGATTCAGAAAGTGCGTGGTATCTTCTGACTCTAGGTATGAGGTATGGAAACCCTGAGAATCCAGCAAGATATATAAGAAGATTTTGTGTCTTATTTTGAGTCCTCATGCAGCCAAAACTGTATTTATAGCACTTGTTTTTGTCATAAAGTTTCTGGAGTCTCCGGCTGCTAGCAGTGGAAACCAGCTGATGTCACACTGTGCCTTCCAGGAAAAGTGAATGGAAAGAATTGATGGAGAAGTGTGTAAGTGAAGAACGTCTGAAAATACGTGCGTAAAACTACAAACAAGTACTGCGTCTCTAGCTCTTGGCAAAGTGCGTTGACGTTCTTGATCCTTCCCACCCCCTTCTTCCCCCCACCCAGCTGAGGTCTAAGATCAGATGACAGATCCAGCCTTGTACAGCAGGGAGGGCTTCTAAGGCCTTGGGAAGAGAGAGGAGCAAGCAAAGCTCCGTTGGCATGAGTCAGTGAGCATTAATCACCACGGGCAGGCAGCCTGGAGGGGGTGTTTCAGGGTCACAAAATGGGCCATGAGGGTAGTTTGTGGAGTGTAAGGCTGCTATCAGTAGGAAAGACATTCTGTTAGTCATCTCTAGATGTAAGTTAGGCTTCTTCAGAGAAAAGTTCATCTTAAGTGTGATATTCAGACAAAAATAATGCTTCAAGGTGCTGCATGTGTTTATGCATGGATGTGTTTTCAGTAGGTAATAGGTTGTAAATTAATGCAGGGTTTTTTTTCCTGTTTTTCCAATATTGTTTACAGGGGGTTGTATGCTTCAGCTACTATATAAAGATATTAGAGGCAGGTAAATATTGCAAAAAAGAAACCAAAGTATATATATGATACTGCAAATGATAACAAATGAGAAACCTTCAGAGAGCTTGAGTAGAAGCTTAGGAAGAATTGCTGTGCAGTAAAACGTTAGATTTTATTTCATTTGGGTTTTTGAACAAAAGTCAGGACATTCCTAAGTTAACGTTCCCACAGCAACGCCAGTGTTTGCCACTGATGAAGAAAAAGAAATAGTACAAAATACTTTTTAAAGCTTCAGCTCTACACACCCAATATTAAATCCCTTGAAGTGTTAATGAAACTTATTTGCTGTTGAAAGTGATTTGAATCAATATTAGTTCCTTAAAATAGAGCAGTGACTCCAGTTCTTTGCAGATTTAAATGAGTGTAATTTGAGACTTGTATCCATTTACTTCTGCAAAGGATCTGACTGTGTGCCTATTACAGAAGAAAAATAAAAATAATTGAGCATATTTTTACTCTTTGGTTTGCAGGCGTGGCAATGGCAGATTCTGCACGGTAGAGTTCATGGCAAGTAATTGCCTAATATAAGCCAAGCAAGAGACACATACACGCTTAAGGTAAATCAGTCTTTCTTAGTTGTGCTTCTTTGAAATAAAATATAAATGTTTATATGTAAACATTTTACAAGTACAGAATTTCAAGCCTAATCAGAATTTTGTATCCAGTTAGATTCTGATGTTTCAAAATTGGGACACCTCAAAATTACTTTCCCTATGAAGCTGGCAGTAGGGGCTGGAAATAGTCATAGGCACTGTGTCCTCTTAACGTTCTAGGTGTAATAGTGCAGAATAGCGACTGTGTTTGAGGGTCTTTGTGGGGAGACCTGCAATACATATTTCATCTCTGGTTTTGAATCTATTCTCTTTCGTGCAGTCGAAAGAAAGAAGTAAGGACCTTGATGCCATTGTAAAAGGCTTATTAAAACACAGAACTATGCAAACTGTGTCTGTTTAAACACCACATTAGGATGATTTTCCCATTGATATTATTTTGCCTTTAATGATAGATAAGGGAAAGTGTTAATATTTGAATCTTGTGGCTGCAATGAATGAGGTTGTCCAGCTAGTGTTGCTTCTAGAAGTAGGTTTAGTGGTTAAACTGAGAATATTGTTTGTGTGCTACACCTCCATCTTCTACCCAAAAGACAACATAAAGCTGTGCTACAGTTGATAGGTTTCCTGTCACACATACAGTATCCATAAAGCAAAACATGAATGTGTGTTTTCTTAATATTTTGGATCCTCATTCAGAAAGTAAATAAAACGTTGCATTGGAGTGTACCTTCTGTATTTGAAACTCTTGAGATATTTTGAGAGTCCCTTGATGCCATAATCTGGAAGAATATAGCAAGTTTAAACTATTTTTTTGTGAGATTCTTTGGGTTTTATTAATGGAAAAATGTTTTGTGGAAACCTTTTTTTTAATGGAGTTGTTTACTAGGTTTTCAGCTGAGATGCAGCTGTAACAATGTGTTGATACTCTTGATTCCTATTGAATGCATTCTGTCACTAGTCCTCAGAATACCTTTTCACAAAGAAGATGATAATACTGTACAGATGGAAACTCTTAAGTGACTTGTCCAATGCTATTCATTACCATAGTTAGTAACAGAACTCATGTCTTCTAAGCCCCAGTCTCATGTTTTCAGCAGTCAACCATAGGATTGTTTTGCATTCTCAAAGTGTGTCTTGGCACATTCGTTATGAGTTGTAAGACTGATGATCAGTCTTGGGAATGTTTAAGCTGTAGTCGCTGACTGGACGTGGAACAGACATTGCAGATGTGGTCTACATCCCAACTTTTATGTATTTTATGTGTTCTGGTTACAGTAACTTGAAACATGGCATTTAAAATGTTTTCCTCTCTTTTTGTCTTAATCTGCAGTGGTCCCAAAATGTGCACCTCTTCTATTCTTCATTCTGTTCTTCTTATTATATCTTAAGTTGAACACACATTCTGATAGTTGAACATACTGTCGTTAGTAATTCAACTGGTCTGCTTGCTAACTGTGCAGATTGCTAACCTGTATGCACATTAGTACTTGTGTTGGCAACACTGAGGAAAACAGTATTTGATGGCTCTGTCTGCAAAAATAAAGTGAGCAGGCGTAGTGACCAGGAACTGTTGCCTTGCATTGAGCAAGAAGCTTCTGGTGCTGAGAGGTTTGGGTGGTGTAAAGATTGCAGTAGAAGGGTGTTTTTCGGATAAGAAAGTATGGCTGCTTCCTTTGTAAGGTTTTGACACTTCAGGAGTTTCTTGTTGCTATCTCTGTTGTCCTGCTGTCTCATAAGTAGCGTTTACTAGAAAGTGACACTTTCTGTGGGTTGTGGCCTAAGCTATACAGTAATTGAAACTTCATCTGATTTGTGTAGGCCTCTCTGTTGGTAATCTGACTTATCTGGTGCACTTGTACCTTCACTCTCTGATGCGCTGTTATCTCTGTTCTGCACTTCCTCCAGAGAAATAGTTATTTTTATATATCCAAGTTTTTATTATTGGCTGTATTGGTACTTAAAAGTATGTAAATCCACAGCAAGTCCAGACTGAACATTGATTTATGTGAGAGACTGTTGACGCCAGGATATATTTGAGGTTGAGTTATGTGGTCTGTTTTATCTGTTAGCCTCTTTAATTGTCAATGGTAATCTTGACGTCCCACAAACATTAATTCCTGGAAAGTGTAATGAGAAATCAGAACTAACTGGTCTAGACAAGTGCTGACTGACAGTAATTTCATTGATCAGAATCCATTAAATAATCCAAAATTCTCTTACAGATGGTGCTGGTGAGACTGCAGTTTTGCCACTAAGTATCAAAGCAGTATCACTAGATTGATTGGGCTCATATCCTTTGTCTAGTACTTGGTGGCTAGAGCCAGTTGTTTTCATTACCAGCTGCAGTTCTATTTATATTATATTGCATACCAGAACTTACAACTGTTTGTTCATCAGCAAGAGTGTATTTTGTCACTCTTAGATCTGGCAGGGCTTTATTAAATCTAAGTGTTTAAACCTTGTTTTTTCTACGTGGAATTGTCAGGTGGGGTCATAGCTCCTCCCTGCTTTGTACAGAAGAAGTTTGAAGTGACATCTGTACTCAGGGGGGCAACTTCAGGAAAAATGTTCTTTGTGAAAGATGTGATCAGATTTCCCAGTTTACACCTGTTAATTGTTTTGCTGTCCCCACTAAGAACCTAAACTCATGAACTCTGAAAACGGGTCACTATCAGTGTCTAGTGCTGGGCCCCAGGGTGAATCTGCAGTTTGCATGAGAGCTTACTGCCATGTCAGTGAATTACAGAAATTGCTGCACTACACACATTGCTAGCAGCATGCCAGCTGTATATACCTTGATCTGAGGATCCAAGTCCTGATTTCTTCTGAGAAGAAATACAGTTGTTTAGATTCTTTGGCCTTTGGGCCAGGTTTTTCTGATGTGTAACCTTGGATGGAGTATTAAGTGTATTTGTTCTGCATGCAATTAAATGAACCATGCTAAAACAATTTTGTTTTGAGAAACATTTATGATTTAAGAGCATTCTCCCAGGCTTTCTACAGGTGGTTGTCGGATTTGCTGCTTGCTTTTTAAAGTTTTTATTGTTTTGGATTTTGCCTTTGATTCAGTGGGGTGTATATTTTTTTCCCAAAGGTATCCAGGAGTTATGGGTTCCTCTGGCTATGTTAGCTGTGCTTTTGGTTCCTTTGAAGTTTTAAAATTAATTCTCTAGAGTGTTACATAGTTATATGTGTGAAGGGAAGATTTTCTTTTTAGCATTAAGAAGTTGTTTACCACTATATTCTTAAGCCTTTACAAGATCAATGAGCTGTATATTTCAGCTTTTTTCTGAAAGCTGATTATCACAGATATACATAGGGCTTAAATACCTGTCAAAGATTGTGTTTAAAAGGAAGAAAACAAAAATTTTGTGTTTACATGATGTTTTGAATCCAGGTCTGTCAGCAGCAATCCAAGACTGGGTTTTGGCCATAAACAAATATTCTTTAATTAATCTTCAAAAAAGCAAGGAATGTGGGCAAGGTGGAAGGAGGTGTCCTCAGGTAACATATTTGCTTGAATCACTAGTAGGAGCTTCATAATCCAGAATGTTACTGTGAAACAGAACAAAAATAGGCATGCAGTGTGTTCTCTGACCAGTAGTCAGTAATGTTCTAGAAAATATAAATTAATAATTTTGAAAATATGTATTTTGAATAACTGAGTTACATTTCTCAGGATTCATGGAATGATTTTTATTTTTCTTAACTAATGTTATAATAAAATTATATTTTGCTGGTTTTAGGATTCTGCATTCCTTTAAAGGATATAATATTAAATCAATTGGACAAATCAGGAAGAAATTAGAACAATGGGAAGAGTACTGCAAAATAGCGATAAAAGGTTCTCAAGAGATCTCCCCCTGGAAAAGAGGACAGGAGTACATGTGATAAATATCTAAGTATATTACAAGACAAGTTAGAAGAGGATATGGATCACATATCCACGCTTCTCAAAGAACATAGAACAAAGGTTACGAAAGGGCCTGCAAAGCAGTGAAAATGTGGGAACTCAAGTGGCCTTGTATAACTCCTCTTGCAGATGGATGCAGGTTTTGGTTTGCACATGTAGATAAGTAAACAGGTTGGGGTTTTCTGTAAAATACTGCTGGAGTACCGTGAGTATAGTTCTGCAAAATAACCTAGGGGGAAACAGAAAAGAAATTATTAAAAGAAACCCAAAAAACCCCAAAACTAAAAAATCCAAAGTTGGTATTTAAATATATTCTAGCTTATGTTGTGGGTCAAATACTGAATCTGCAAAAAGAGAACCCTGAATCAGAGAGTAGTGCCCCCAGCTTATGAAGTGTTAGTACAGAAAGTCTGTATGGTTTCTGCTTGATTTGCTTAGGACGTAGAAATAACATTTTTTTCCTTGTTTTGTTAGTTCTTCGTGTTCCACAATTCAGACCTTTTTTCATACATTTGCATTTATGCTATCTTACATTAGAGTTCCCATCTGCAGGTTTATTGTTATCTGTTAGTGCTGTTGCTGTCAAAATAATGTAATACAGGAGTTTAGGATTCTGGGTACTGCTGTTGGTAACTCTGCTTCTGTCATGAGCCAGACAGGTAGGATAAGTCCACTGAATATTATTAGGAAGCTACAAGACTTCTGTTTTCAGCCATGTTATGTTTGCAGTTTGGGTTTGGGTTTGGTTTTTTTGCACCCTTTCATTTATTCTCTGCATTTTTGAAATTTACAACTTAATTTTTGAGTCTAATGAGGGTTGTTACTACCTTGTGATGACTTCTGTTATTAGAAATATGCTTACTTTCACAGTCCTTGATGTTTTGCAAGATGGAGTTCGTGTTATAATGATTGTTATTATCTGATTTTAACTCTGGAGTACTCAATGTGTGTGTTTTTTCCTTTTAGAGTGAAGACTGGAACGGCTAGAGAGAGGTGTGTAGCTGCAGGTATGAACCAACTACGGTTTGTATCTCCCAGTTACGTATTGGAGCTTCCTTTCAAAGGCTTAGAGAGTTGTTTTTACTTTCAGTGATGAAAGCAGTCGTTTTCCACTGTGGTGAGCAGTGCTCCCTGAACCCTAAACTCTGCAGTTTCCTGCCTTTGTACTGCTAAAGGGGGTTGGGAGTGTTAACAACCTAGGACTGGGAGTGCTAAGTCAATAAGCTGCTTCAGCTCCATCTTAATTTAATAATTTCAGAAACGTTACTAACTGCAAAGTGTAAATGCATATCTTCATAGTAATTTCTTGTCCAGAACTAATCTGAAGTACTCTGTAGTACATGAAACTGTAAAGGTATTAGTGGATCAGCTCGCTATGGGCTGAGACAATTCTGATTATGTGCAGTAGGAGCATAGTCTAGTGTGAAAATACTTGGAGCCAAATGTGAGCATCTTCTGGTGCGATTTTCTTAATGCCTGAAGTCCAATAAGGATGTAGTTCCATGAGACAGCTGAGAAAACTCCCCCTTCCTCTCTTACAGTTTCCAAGTGAGTAGTCCTGTGTCCTTTGGTTATGTTTGGTTCTTGTGATTACTGCATGGTAGACAAAGTCAGCTTCATCATTTGTGATCAAGTTGTTATTTTTCTGGGTTATCAGGTTGGAGTGATTTATCAAAGGAGTACCAAATTAATAGATCATACTGTCTGTAACTGTACCGTAAGAGTTTCAGTTCACTTCTGATCACAACTGACCTGTACCTGCTGTCCTAAGTAACACCACCATGCTCAGAGCATGGTGATTGTTGCTCTTCTGATGAATCACCACCTGTACTATGGCAGAAATTTTTAAGGTGTGCTTTAGTCTCTAGACAGCCAGGAAGAGTTGAGTTTTGATATTGTCTTGAGGAAGCACTTGTTTTCTACTATGGTCAGATGTTTGCTACAGTTTTCATAAATACATTGGACAGGATTTAGTCATATCTATATCAGAAAGAAAGAAAAAAAAAAAAAAAAAGTCTTTAAAGTTCAGGATATCCTGTCACTCCATATATTACTCATCAAGGAAGAGCTAAAGTTGGATTCAGAAATCCAAGAACACCTTCATTGTCAAGTGACTTTTAGAGAATTGGTGATTGACCCTCTGTGTTTGGAAGAACCGGTTTGAGAGCATTTGTCTCCAGACATTGAGGATGTTGCAAAACACAACTTCTTTCTTAAATGACTGGTGCTCTGTACTTTACCCTTCCGGCTCCTTTGCTGTTCCATTAGGACCATACGGAAGATAGGAAAGAGAGAATACTGGTCATTATAGCTGTGTTTTTGTCTGAGGCGTTGGTATCTTACGAGACAAACTAATCTGTGATTAGACTTAGATTTTCAGACTCATGGGATTCTGCCAGTTACAAAACACAGGTCCATAATCAGTAGATTTGTATTAATTAACAAAATAATCAGATTATTTAAATAGCAAAATAGAGTTTATGGTTGCTGAAAATAAGTCATGAAATGGAACACTTCCATTTGCTGCAAGATCCATGATTTCTCATCTTAAGTGTGACATAAACTTGAATTCATCTGCCTTAATGTGACTGTAGAAAGGTGTCCAAATGACAGAGGATTGAGTCTTTTCTTGAGCATCTGATAATGGTATATCCAATTGTTAGTATGCATCCCAGTATGAAATGCCTCTTATGATGATTAGCTCCATAAATTAACTCTGCAGATATATATCAGAATAAAACTGATGGCATTCTGCTTCTGGTCTGGTACAGACAATAAAATTGAGGAGGAGACAGCTTTGCTTTGAGATAAGCAATCAGCCTTTGAAATAGCACTTGGTTTTGTTCCCCACTTTTCTGGTAGCTGTTCCCTTTAACACGAGAAGTTTTTGAATATAGTTTACTCTGAGACTGGGATTGCCTCTTGTATTTGGAAATTTATATGCCACGCTTTGCCAAAGCAGATCAAACAGTTAATCTTCTCTGAAATACTGTTGCCTTAAAAGTGCCTTATGAGCATTGACAGTTTCAAGACTGAAGAACTCCTGCCTGCATATTGACTCTTGTCATGTCCACATTCACCATGCTGATGATCTGCTGGGGGACAAAAATGCCTTTATGTGGTTTAAATACGCTGTGAATCAACAGCACTGTAGTGTTGATGTTGTTCTTACTGCCCTGCCTCCCCTTTAGGGTGATCCTGTTGTTTTCCTGAAGGTAAGCTCTAACGAAAACTCATTTGATCAGATCTGTAGGCATGTTGTATGATGAAGAGTAGCAACTTACCTGTTCTTACCTGAAACATGTCTGTGTTCAAATAAAACTTGTGTGGATCTGAGCCCTTTCCAAAATAGAAGTCTTTGACATGGAGATGAAAATGGGCATTAAAAGCTTGTAGATTTGTTTACTTAGAAGGAACTTCAGTTCTTCTGCCATAAGGGAAGTTAATTCTTCCTCAATACTTCTAAAGCCATTTATAGTTTAGGAAAGTTTGTTTGGTTATAAATTTATTCATTTGTTTGGAGGGACTCTTCTGGATCATAGTAATACCCTTCATTCTTTCTGGGCTTAGTTCTTCCTGAAGTTCAAAGCTACTGTATCTAACCTAATAGTTATCCTATAGTTATTTAGTCCTTATTAAAGATAAAATTTTTAGATAGGCATGGATGTATTTTCTCAGCTGATTAGGAAGACTGGGGTACATACGTCATACTGTTTCTCTTTTGACTCTAGAGGCGTGGGAAGTTTAGATGGTTTTCAGAAACATACTCTCTGTCATTCTGTTTGTGACTTAAAAGCTAGTGAAGTTTTGTGTATGGCTGCTTGTCCAGCTGTGCTAGGAGTGATGCTGGAGCTTCCCTTGTTGCATGTGTTATATGTGGTAGATTGAATTGTTTGCCTTTCCAGGAACCCCACATCTCATTCCAATCTCATCCACTCTGCTCATGGACAAGGCTGGAGCTGTACCTGTGCAGTCTTGTGCCAGGATCCAGGGGAAATCATGTCTTACCGTGTTCTGAATTGTTGCACTACATAGAAATTATTATTGCAGTGATTACTATTTTAAACACATAGTGTGCTCTCCTGAAGCTGTCTGGGCTGCATGTGACCTCTCTTCAGGTGAACATGCAACAGAAAGCGTTACTTTGGATAAAATGAAATCAGTGAGAAATAGTGAGTGAATTTTTACTATAGTGTCATGTTAACTGATTCTCAGTTGTATCTGATACTATTAATAGAAACAATTTGAGATTAAAGGAATCCTCAAGACAGCTTGCAGGGCTGTTCTGATGGCTGCAAAGGACAATGAAACTTGAGACTTGTTGCTTTGTTTAGTCCAAAAGATCTCTTGAAACTTAACAGGGGAAGGGAAAAAAGCCTCTGGCATACTTCAGAAAGTTTATTAAACAGGTCTGATCACTATTTGAAGACATTTCAGTAAGGAGAGGTTTTAAAATTATTTAGTATTATGAAGTTTCTTTGAGTTAATGTTACAGGTTACATTTAAGTTAAAAAAAAAAAAAAAAAAAAAAAAAATGACCACTTCTTTAAGGTTTTACTTTACACCTGCACAAGTAATACAACAATCTTCATATGTGGTATTGTCCTGGAATTGTATAGCTGGTTCTGTAGTCTCCCCTGGGTCGATACGCAACCGCACAGCAATTCTCTGTGTAAATGTAGTTGCTTTGCCCATTATAGTGCTTTATGGCATGTTTGGCTTGAAGACAAGCAGACTGTTCAGAGCTTTCCAGGACCCAGTGGATTTCCATCTCCTTAGCAGAAGAATAACTTCTGGCTCAGATTTAGTGGCAGAAGACTGACCTAAAATGTGTAGTTGATTCTTTAAAAACCTCTCTAGCAAATATTGCAGGGATGACAAAATGTTTGTTTCCAGTGCATCTTTTTGACTAAGCACAGAGCTGCAGGTTCCTATAATATAGGAAAAGACAGCAAAATACAGGCATAATTGAAACCAGATTTCCAGGTCTTGTGTTTGTATTTACAAAAGAAAAAAGCTGAAGGAGTTCTAAAGTATTCTGTTCCATAGAATTCCTTGCAGGGTTGTTTCTTACGCAAAACACTGAAATGCCTGAAGGCAAACTTCTGACCAATCTTGTAAAAATCGTCATTTTTATAAGCTCAGAGACAACATGTGGTGAGAGAAACAGGGGAAAGGTGGTGTAGGTGGATCTGTACTTCTGCTTTCAGGGTGTGATACCTGGCAAGCATTAATATTCTTATGCTCTTCTACTAAAACTTTAAGCATTGAAGTGCAAGTGTTGATTTTTATCCATACATTCTGTGTTTCTCATGGTCTGAATTCAGTCAATAAAGAGAAAGGGGGAGGGGAGGAACACTTAAAACTTGCTGCTGCCTTAAGTGTTCCATCCTGTCTCATTCTAGTAGTTTTCTGTTCTTTCACAGGATAGAAATGCATGTCCTCACTACTTATACTCATTTCCTGCCTTGTCTCCTGTTCTGTGTCATACTGCTGCCTTTATTTCCTCTTACTATTGTTGTGACCAAGCCACTTTTCCTACTTTCTCAAAAATTTTTTTCTATCTACAGAGCCAAAGTGTCTACCGGTCTTTCAGATCTTTTAGGTACTTTAGATTTCCACGTTTCTCTCTCACAAAATAGAAGCATTGTTGTGTTCATGCACTGTGATGGTTAAAACTCAAAATGCTTCCCAAACTGTGTCTGCTGGAATGTTGGCAGATGTTTAAAAAAAAAAAAAAATTCCAACTGAAATTGTCTTTTCCATACCTTCCCATATAGCTTAAGCATTACATGAAATACATATTTCACATCTATTTATTAAAAAAATCCCCACAATAAGGATAAAAGGATTAAATCTTTTAAAGGTTGTTGTTGTTGTTTTTAACATTTATATGTCTTCCTAGAATGAGGGGAAGAAAGCTATATGCTTTTGCTTTAAAAGCAGTTGCCTCAGGATTCATCAATGTTTCTCATCAATTATTAATCATAAAATGTCTTGCAAAGAG